TTCAAGTCATGATCTCCGGGTTATGGGATCGACCCTGTGTTGGGCTCTGCTGGGTGTGGCTTGAGATGCTCTCTCCCCCTCTTCCTCTGCCCCTCCCCGCTCTAAAAAACAAATTAATTAAAAAAATAAAATCTTTAATCCATTTGGAATTTATTCATTTGAGGCAGAGATCCAGCTTTTCCCCTGGATGCCTGTCCAGTTGTCCCAACACTACCTGTTCAGTAACTTGTCATTTTGTCACTGATTTGAGATGCCACTTATATCATGTACTAAATTTCTAAAAGCATTTGGGTCTATTCCTGGATTATCTAGTATCTTCCATTGATCTTTCACACATGAACTAGTACTGTCACCAGCTAGACCCCAAGACATGACCTTTATTGCTAGCCTGCTTGTACCCAATGACCTTTGTCCCACATTTTCCCTTAAACTCTTCTTTTCAGCTTACCTCTTAACTCACATGAAAGACCTGAGGGGCATAGCACCCTCTGATGGAAACCAAAACTGCCCCCCAAGCAATAATGACAGCCCTGACCCAGGCCACCCAGACCAGTTTGAGCTTAGCCCCAACTCACAGCTGTGCAGATGGACCATGGAGTGACCCACGGAGTGACCGACAGTTACCTTTACGACATCAGAGTACTAAAATCTCCAAAGAGAAGCACAAGCCTCACTTACATAACACAGAATGTGTGTAAAGCATATTTCCTCAAGATACATGTGCGACCTGGTGCCTGCTTCTACATATGGGGACAAGGCTTCCCTTTCTAAATATTCATCCTCACTGTAAATAAAAGGAACCCATTCACCCTTGCTCAGGGAGTCAGGGCTTTGGAAGTTATTCCCCATGATCTCCTTATTTGCGGCAAATAAAATTTCCTTGTGTGTAACTCACCTGGTGTGTAACTCACCTGGTATAGTTTCTATCTGTGACTCACCAAGGAGCAAACTCATGTTAGTTCAGTTACAGTATTTTAGTTATTAAACTTTATAATATAGTATGTTTTAAAAACTGAAAGGACTAGTCCGTTTTTCTCATTCAGATTTTTTTTTGCTTTCTTTTTTAATTTCCTTACAAATTTTAAAATCAGCTTATCTAGTTATTGAAAAAAATTCTGTTTTTTGTTTTTTATTTGTAATCATGATAAATTTATAGCTTAACCCAGGGAGAAATGACATCTTTATAATGTTGAGTCATACTGTCAACAACACTGTCTTTCCATTTGTTTAACTTTTCCTTGTAGCTTAGGAAAATATTAAAGTGTTCTTTTTATGGTTCTTGTACATTTTTTTTTTTTAAGATTTTATTTATTTATTTGAGAGAGAGAGAATGAGAGATAGAGAGCATGAGAGGGAAGAGGGTCCGAGGGAGAAGGAGACTCCCTGCTGAGCAGGGAGCCCGATGCGGGACTCGATCCCGGGACTCCAGGATCATGACCCGAGCTGAAGGCAGTCGCTTAACCAACTGAGCCACCCAGGCGCCCAGTTCTTGTACATTTCTTATTAAATTTGTCTCTAGGCATTAAAGTACCTAGTTCATTTTTGTCTGTATTTTTTTCTCACTGTGGTAAAAGCTGTCTTCTTAAAAATATATGAACGCTGCAGATTTCAGTATATTAATCATGTTTTCTGCCACCTAAGTAAGTTCTCCTATCATTTGTAGTTTTTTGTTTAATTGTCTTACCACCTGCTGAGTAGTAATTTTTACCTCCTGATCTCTGAGTTTTAAACCTCTAATTTCTTTTTCTTTTCTATTATGAAACAGTCTTAGCACCAATGAATCTGAATCGCTGCTAGAGCAAATGTTTTCTGAGCTTTCAGTTAGTATTTCTGAAAAATAAGATCAGATATAAATTTAATGTCATTTTGTTTTTCCCCAAACACAATTCTCCATAAGACCTTAATTTTGTCAACATTGTTTGTTAGGGTGGTGCTTTTCAGGCATTTTATAACCCTGTGCTGGTAAAGAACGGCCCATCTCAGCCCTGAGGGTGACACAGAGAAGCATGTCAAATGTGGGTCACCCCTGGTGTGTGGTTGACCAGTTGCCCATTGAACACTTCATTAGTTGGGGCAGGGGATATGACTTCAGGCCACAGACTGTGGTTTCTTCCCCACTTCTGCTTTTCCTCTCCCCACCAGCCTGGCCATTCAAACTTGCAGGAAGTAATTCAGAGAGCTGACTGTATATTTAGATGGCCCTGTTGGAATTCCTCTGGTCAAACAAAGCACTGACATGCATGGGCACCCACATGGGAGGCTAGGACTAGAACTTACCGGATGGAAAAACCCAAGCCTTTTAGATTTTAAATACACAGGGGACTCAAAATACAATATTATGTTGAACGCCAAGGGAAAAAGATATCCTTGCTTGTTATCTTCTGCACTATTTTTTTCACTGCTCTTAAAGGCTCAGACCTTGGGACACAAACCTTTTTGATATACAACCACTGCTCTAAAAGGGTCTGTTACACCTCACAGAGGAAGAACAAACAATTGGTTTACTCAATAGAGGTATTTAGAAAATGTTCTTTGGCCCTATGGCCGCACTTCTCAGGATTTCAAGCTTTTACTTTTGGCACTGCTCTTCCATGATAAATATGATAATCTCCATCTTAAACAAACTTGCTTGTGTAGGGAAAGGAAATGGAGCCCTCAAGGCTATTTCTCTCTCCCTGACTCTGTCCAAGAAAGGCCAATCAACAGGTTTGTCTTTCCATGAAAAGGTCTGCATTTCGGGGGTGAAAGGTCTAGGACAGGCGTGACAGGTAGAAAAATGGGGACCCTAGGACACAGGCTATGGGGCTCCCCTGACCCCACCCTGGTGCGAGCCCAAGGAGGCCATTTGCCAGGCAAAATAAAACCAATGCAGCCTTGAGTGTTGGCTTTGGATTACAGAAACTAATATGGACACTGCTGCTTGTGCTGCCTTACCCTGTCCTTGCACCAGGTTTTTCCACCATAAAATAGGGATGAAAACAATGCCTGAAGCACAGTGGTTTCGTGAGGTCCAGATGAATGAACACATGTCAAGAGCTTCGAAAAGTACCTGGCAACTATCAAAACCTCAATAAATGTTCGCCATTATCATCAACAACATCAAGATATAAGCTTCCCACGGAATTACAGCTGCCATTCCATTTATAGTAAGAATTTATCCACCGCTGCTTAAGCTGCAACCTGAAAAAATTCCATTCTCTTTCAATTCCCTCTGCAGGCACAGTTACAAATTGTGTTCCTTAAAAAAGTCTTTCTCAGGGGCGCCTGGGTGGCTCAGTTGGTTAAGCGACTGCCTTCGGCTCAGGTCATGATCCTGGAGTCCCCGGATCGAGTCCCACATCGGCCTTCCTGCTCAGCAGGGAGTCTGCTTCTCCCTCTGACCCTCTTTCCCTCTCGTGCTTTCTATCTCTCATTCTCTCTCTCAAATAAATAAATAAAATCTTTAAAAAAAAAAAGTCTTTCTCAAAAGACAAATACTGTATGACCTCACTTCTATGTGGAATCTGAAATAGTCAATTTCACAGAAGCAGACCAGGAATGGTGGTGGCCAGGGTCTGGGGCAGGGGGACTAGAATGATGGTCAAAGGGTAGAAGGTTAAAACAAACAACCCTTCTCTCCAAGTGTTAAATAATTTAACTTACTACAACCCTGTAGTTTATTTTTTTGGCTTTAGTTATGTTTCACTGAGATACGTTAATGATATGACAAAACTCAGAATTCTTAAAATAAGATATAGAAATATACAATGGGTACTCTCCTCTGCAAATAATTCTCTCCTCTTTCAGTTACTTGTAACACAAAGTATTTATTTTAGAAAAGGATGCCAGGAAAACGGTTAACTATATTTTTCCTCCTGTGCAGCTAAAATCTACCCGAGTGTTGTGTTTTAAGCACCTATGAGATCAGCATTTTTCAAGCTATGCTTGCAACCCATTAGATTATGAAATAAATTACTGTCTTAAAAAAGTGAAATAGAGTTGGAACTATTAGTATGAATCATATACAGCAAGGGGAAATCTTGTTGTGTGAGACTTCTATTTCTGTTTTATACTCATAAGTATGTATGAAGGTATACGTCCACAGTACTGTGCTGGTGATGGTATAAATTTCGTACTGTGGGTCCCAACCAAGAGTTTGATCAACACCGTGCTAGACAGTTGGCATAATACCTTGTTCTGCTTAAATTATCATTACTTCTCAGGAATTCTGCACAGAGGTCTCCTTCACTGTAAACATACTGACAACTTTTAAAAGAATGGTAATGCAAAATAAATCCAAGTCCTCCTTCAGAACATCTCAGCTTCCTGACGGTGGCCATGGGTAGTGATTACATTTTCCCAGTTGCCTTCTCAATGGCTCAAATGGGAGCCACTTACCATGGCAACACAACCCCGGCTTCCTCATTATTCTACAGATACTTGTGAGGTGCCTCCTATGTGCCAGGAACTACACTAGCTGATAGGAATGGCTGATGCTAGAAGGAGTTCACAAGTAGCATCCTGGAGAAGGACCTGTTTTCGGTCCTCATTGGGAAGATGTGCATGGTGGCCACTTGGCCTTGTCCGTGTAGGTCTGCTCCTTCCAGAGAAATCTAGAGCTATAAGAACTAACAATGTCTCATAATAAAAGAGCAAAAGTAAACCATTTCTACTTTGTGATAAATAGTTGGAGGAGAAAAAATACATACCAACTCCCTTAGAAAACCACTCAATTGGTAATGACTCACCTATTAATTCTGCTAGCTCTAGTGCTGTCCTTTTGTGACGATGTGTATCTTCATTGTTGACTTTTCTCCTCCTGTGGCCTGGTTCTAAATCCACTGTCCATTATATACGTTGCAGAGGGTCCCTCCTTCTTTATCCCTGGCCTTTTCTAGATGGTGGGCTCTACCAGATAATCTCCTCTGTGCTTCTGCCAATACTCACAAGAGCAACAGACGCACATCAAACACCCCATGACTTTTGTTGATGGATAAGGAAAAAATATGGAAGCTTCTTACCTTGGAGGAACTGGTAGCCTGGGGCACAGTGAGTATGCATTTGGATTCTGGGTGTAGTTGATGGAATTCAAACTATAAACACACAGGAAGGACCCTGGAAGCAGAAGACACATACACTGTACCATCCTCCTACATTGTGCTCAGCTTTGTAGGGGAGCCAGTAAGAAAACCATAGTCCTTTTACCAAACCGGAAGAAAAGGGAATACATCACTCAGATTTAGAAAACAGGTCTATAGGTGACCTAAACACAGAGAGAATAAGCATACAATCATACAATTTGAGGTCTCTTACCCTTCCTCTCTCCCCTAAATCTCAACTCAAAACTAAAAGTTATATGATTGGCACGAAAATCTTTTGAAGGGTTCTGAAGATAATTTGTTGTATAGGTTTGATATTTTTAACCCAGCCTTGCAAATGATTTTTTCAAAATCTGGCACACCATTTCACAGGCAGATAAACTTCGCAGTGGGTTGCCTCAAATTTCTTTTACTTTCCTCTGCTTGTTTAATCCTTATAATGTAAATCTCAAGAGTGGGCTCAGAGCCAGGTACTTCAGTTACATTAATGATTAGTGCAAGTATCCATGGGCACCAGCATTTTAATGAAAGAACATTTTAATGAAAGCCCAGAGCTTGCAGCCCCTCTCTAGGACTAGATGTGCCCGTGTGCACAGAGCTCTCTGACCTCTGTCCGACCCTACCTTTGGGCCCTACATGTCAGTCTACGCCACTCTCTGTATGGAAGACCATTCCCTGGCAGTGAGCAGAGAACAGCTAGGGTTTCAGATAAATTCCAGATAAGGCTGAATGAAAGTGCACAAGCCCAGGAGAAAACATTTATGGCCTTTTCTATGCAAGAAGAGGACAATTTCCAGCTTTGTGGAGAAGGCAGGGTCAGGGTAAGCTGTCTCATCTAGGTCTGCACCGGTTCTCCCACTGTGGTTCCCAGCCTGAGGGGGAAGAGTGAACCCCCATCCCTTGGTGCCCACCATTGTTGTCTGCAAAGAGCTGGACTTCTTCCAGGGTACTGAGCTGCTCTTCGGGACATCTGGACACACAGAGGACGGTGGAGTTGAGCCTCACGTCCTTGACTTCCAGGTTGCAGGAATTCATAAAGAACACATGTCTACGAAACAGATGAAACAGAAGACTATCTGAAAGCATTTCCTCTCATTGGGTTTAATGATGGGCCTTAAAAAAATCCCCATGTTATCAAAGGTGGGAATAATAATGTCAAAACGTTCATAACCAAATGCCTGAGCATAATTTACCATGTATTATGCCTGCTGGGGGTCATCTAGGGAGATATGCAGGGTAGGAACCATGCTCAAATGTCTCCCCTGGGAGAGAACACTAAGGGGTGATCTGAGGAAGTCACTGAGGAAGCGAAGGGACTGAGTAAACTGCCCAGGGAGGGGCGCCTGGGTGGCTCAGTCAGTTAAGCGTCTGCCTTCAGCTCAGGTCATGATCCCAGGGTCCTGGGATCGAGTCCCACATCGGGCTCCTTGCCCTGTGGGGAGCCTGCTTCCCTCTGCCCACCGCTCCCCCACTGCTTGTGTGCTCTCTCTTTCTCTGGGAAATAAATAAATAAAATATTTATAAACAAAAAACAAAACTGCCCAGGGAATGCTAGATCATCAGGCCAGGGCATAAACTACTCAATGAAGTCCACCGAAGACAGATTGGCACCTGAGTGTTCAGCTCTACTTCAGAGGATAGCTGAACTCAGGGAAGTGAGAAGTGGAAAGGGGAGAGCGGAGGCTGTTGAGAACTAATAGCCTGGCCCTCCCCTTGCCTCCCAGGTTGAGAGCCAGGAAACTCGTGAGACCCTTCCCACTCAAGCCGTTCCACCACTGGGTAGACGGGGCACGAGAACAAAGCGGGTTGTTGCCCTTAATGGGGTCATGAGCCAGGTGAGCAGCGGTAGCTCCCAGACCACACCCAATGCCTCTCCCGAGGCTGCTGAGACCAGGGGAAGCCAGAAGAGCCCAGGAGGCTGCTAGGGAGGCCGTCCTCTAGGGGAGGGCCCTGGAGAGGGGGTGCTGGAAGGGGGCTGGGAGGGAGGGCGGGAGGTGGTGTAATAGGAAAATGGGGAACAGATCTCCTGGACCTATGATAAATACATACTTTAGTTTTTTTTAAAGATTTTATTTATTTATTTGAGAGCGAGAATGAGAGAGAGAGAGAGAGCATGAGAGGGGGGAGGGTCAAAGGGAGAAGCAGACTCCCTGCTGAGCAGGGAGCCCGATGCGGGACTGGATCCCGGGACTCCAGGATCATGACCTGAGCCGAAGGCAGTCGCTTAACCAACTGAGCCACCCAGGCGCCCACTTTATTTAATTTTTTAAAATTGTGGTAAAATACTCAGAAAATTTTACCATCTTCACCATGTTAGGTGTAGAGTTCCTCCCAGGTTGGGCATTAAGGACATTCCCCCTGCTATGGGACTGTCACCACCACCCACCCACAGAACGCTTTTCACCTTGCAAAACCCAAACTCTACCCATGAAGCAATAACTCCCCTGCCCCTGGCAAGCACCATTCTACTTTCTGTCTCTGGAAATGTGACTCCTCTAGGTACCTCATAGAGTGAAATCATAAAATATTTTTCTTTTTGCGACTGGCTTATTTCACTTAGCATAATATCAAGATGGACTCACGCTGTAGCCTGTGTCAGAATTTCCTTCCTTTTTAAGGCCGAATAATATCCCATTCTATATATATATACACAACATTGGGTTTATCCGTTCACCTGCTGATGGGACACCTGGTTGCTTCTACTTATTGGCTACTGAGAATAAAATATATACTTTACAATTTGAAGAGGACTTGACAATTTCTCAGCATGCACCGGTACATCTGGGCAGCCTCTTCTTCCTTCTTTTTTTGTAAGTGACCCACAGGCGCAGGAGGAAATGCCTGCAGGCAGTCCACGTCCAGCGGAGCAAAGCCCCTCTGAGGAGCAACATTCAGGGGTAGAAGAGGCCTGGTCTGAGATCTGTACTTGGTGACTTCAAATTTATATTCAGGACCTATTTAGATCCATAAATTTTCTCTCCTAGGAGGTGCTTTTGATCATCAAGTCTCAAAAATTATTACAAGGTGGTCCTCCTCTTAGAAAAATCCTGGCCACGGATTTCTGTCTCTCTTCTCCCGTTTCTCTGTTGGAGTTGGTACTGTGGTGTGGTGACACCACAGTACCATAGTTGAGAGTGTATCCTGGGGTGGGAGTGGGACACAGGTCCCCAGAAGGCCCAGTTGGGATACAGGTATTTCCACTGAGATAAAATACCGTGGGTAGTGTGCAGTTGGTAACATACAATTGGTAACACGATTCTGATACATTGTGGAGAACAACAGTAGCAACTAACATATATTAAGCCTTAGCTCATGCAGTGTCTCAGTGGATCCTTTGGGCGCCTGGGTGGCTCAGATGGTTAAGCGTCTGCCTTTGGCTCGGGTCGTGATCCCAGGGTCCTGGGATCGAGTCCCACATCGGGCTCCCTGCTCCTTGGGAGCCTGCTTCTCCCTCTGCTTCTGTCTCTCTCTCTCTCCCTCTCCGTCTCTCATGAATAAATAAATAAAATCTTTAAAAACAAAACAAAACAAAAAAAAACAACCTTGTGAGGTGGGTATAATAACCAGTTGAAAAGATGAAAACTTGGCTCAGAGAGGTTAAGTATTCTGCCCAAGGCCACACAGCTGAAAAGTAGCACAGGCTGAATTTCAGCTTAGGACTAACTGATTCTAATACTTGTGTCTTTATGACCACACACACCCCTCCGTTTATGAGATGGGCTGATAGTTTTAAATGGAAAAACAGTTTCTAGGCTCTGAATGGCTCATCGATACAGTTCTGAAATATAGTATAGCCCCTCTGGGTTGGGGACTTACTTGAACACTTACTTTTTTTGCGTCATGTCCTGCCCTGAAAGAGGGGCCCCTTCCACTGGGGAGTTCTTCTTGCCACACACATTGCCAAAGCTGTCGTAGCCAAAGAGAAGTCTTCCCGTGGCGCCTGCTGCCACGGAGTAGCCTGTGATGAACATCTGGCAAAACCCAAGTGGCACATGAGAGCCTGGCCAATGGGCTGAAGACTCGCCCCCCCGCCCCCCGCATCCCTGATGATGTTGATACAAAGTGGAGCCAGGTAAAAAGCAAATCTCCCAGCATCACCATATGCTCTCCTTCAGCGACAACATCAGTAACACCAGTCAGTCAGGATGCTGTTACTCTCACACTTGCTCTAACGGGTTAGGTAGGGAGAACATTCTTAAAGGCTGAACAGATTTCTGTCCATGTTCTTACCTCCACATACTTCTTACCCTCTTTTCCAAGAGTCTGTCATTTTTTTTCTTCTGGGTCTAACTTCACCAGGGCAACTCAAATCCCACCCCCCCACCCAACAGGTTCTTGCTTTATTTAAGGTTGCCCAGGGCCACTGCTACTTCTTTCCTGGAGCTTCCTTTCATCTCTCTTCTCCTTCCTCTTCCCTTCCCCCCTGAGTTTCCTGCCCTCGTTCCTGCCTTCCCTTCTTCCCTCCCTTCCTTCTCCTCGCCTCCCCCTCCCTTTCTCTCTCCGTTTTTCTTTTTGTCTTATATTTAGGGGACTCGGACCCTCAGGGGCAGAGGCAACACAGTAGATGTGTACCAAAATACTGCTCATAACAAGCAAGAAAATGGTATTTGGGGGTAAGTGCTTAAGTTGTACAAAAGAAAAAATCTCAGGAATTCTGGACATCTTGCAACCTATAGTCACTTTTATCCAATTTCATCATGAATATGGAATATTTGAAATTTCAGCTCAGATGACTGTTGCGTTGTATGCATGGACGGGTCCTCCACTAAGATTGCGTATCTTCCAGAATGCAATCTTAGTGTGGTAAGTTTCCCAGTTTATAACACATAGAATAGCATTTAATAATTAGTCCCGACATGATCATTCCAGGAGTGAGGATATGGTACATCACTCAATAAACTATAGTAATGACACCCCATGTTCCAAAGGTACGTTGTCCCAGAGTCAAATATGTTGCAGATATTCTTCATTCACTACAATTTAGAAATCAAAATAACAGTCTTGAAGTGCCCAGCGTGTGCCAGAGATCGTTATGGGCGGGGGGGGGGGGGGAAACGACATAAAGATGAACAAAACCGAGTGCCTGCCTTCAAGGAACTCAGCCCAGAAGATGGGCAGGCTCTCTGTCCCGGCCCCTCCCCAGTACCTCCTCAGTTCCTGGTCAGATTTCAGGAGGTGAGCATCACCTTTGCTGGTGGACAGCTCCCTCACCCCCTCACTTAGAGGGGGTGGGGATGGCTGCTGACCCAGCCCCAGGCTGCTTCTCCTGCCCACTCCACTTGGAGTGTGGGAAGATCCCGACTGGGTCTGGACTTGGAGGAAAAGGAAGCTGGGCTGCTGCCCAGCTCACCAGAGAGCTAATAAGGAAGGGGTATTTTCCGTTGATCAGCATTCTTTATGTTAGTACCTCCCTTGGGAAGCTGGTGGGAGGAGTGGAAGTTTTGTTTCATTTTAGGGCGGGAGGGATTTGGTTACACACTAAGTCCCTGCCATACCACTACTACTACTTTAAACCATCAAACTCTGTTCTAATTTCCAACACACAATTACAATCCCATATGATGGGTGATATAGTACGAGCAGATACCAGGTATGGTGAGGCTACCAAGGAGGTCACTGTCAACGATGCCAGGGAGGATCCAGAAAATGGAGTCTTAAAAAGGAACAGGAAGGGCAGGTGGGGGAGGAGACTGCAGAGGTTAAGTAGAGGCAGACATGGTCCAGAATTTGAGACATTCTGTTCTGTGTGTCTTATGCAAATATAAACAAAGGCTGGTACCCTTTGTCTTTTTAGTAGACTGCACGTGGCTCTAATTCTGGCCCCTCACCCTAAACCTCCCTAACTGGGGGCAGCACCAGCAATAACCTCGGTCTAGCATGTGCCTCTTTACCAGTCAGGATGTCAGAAGACCAGGAAGCTGAACAGCAGAGGCAGAAAAACACACCTTGCCCTGTTTTAAGTATCCCTGGTTAAAAAAATCTTGCAGGAGATAATGAAAGGCCGTTAAGCTTGCAGGACTCTCATTATTATTCAAATGCAGTACAGTAAAGAGAATGCGGGCATATTGAAGACCTCAGATTTATTCTGCAAATGGCATGGAATTCGAAAGTAGTTTCCAGCTCTGTGCCAGCTCTCAGATGGTTCATAATTCTTAAGGCTGTGATGGGCCATCTACACATCCTTTCCCCAGGTGGCTGTTGGGCTGAGAGTTTGGTAGTGATGTACTAGGTTTGAACCCTGGAGGGGCTAGGGAAGATCACTGAATAGCATGAACAGCCTGAGGTCAAATCTGCCTGGTGCCTGCAGCTCAATAGCAGGCCCAGCAGAACAGGAGCCATCTGCAGGGCAGTTAAGGAGGTGGTGTAGGTACACACTCTCTTGGCTCCTGTAGGAGGGCTCAGAGGGCGATGACATGACAACATACAACAATCAGTTACACTTCTCAGACCCAACCTTCCACGGTACCTGTAACCATGTCTGTCATGAGAAACCAGTAGGTAAAGTCAAGAAATGAATAAATCCTTTTTGAAAAAAGAGGAATTTGGAAAGAGGAACAAACATGGTATTTCAGGGTCTGTTTAAACTGAAATCTTTGCAACAAAGGTAATTACTATGGGGTTGATGTAATGCTGCTTTATAAATTAATCATTAACCATGTGGCAAACAGCATGCCCCAATCTAGACTGGATCATTTCATGAACCTGATCTTTCAAGAAGCTGAGTGGGGCTCCTTCTGCTGTTACCTACAACTCTAAAGTAAGTATCAAAGCATCAAGATTTAGCTGCCGAGAGACCCTCCCAGGACTAAAATGGCACAGCCTGATGAGGTCTATCAGCAATCCTATCTAACTGGAAACTAGAACAGGAAAAAAATTATTACCTAACTATAGAGTTTATATCAAAGGCTCATTTCCCAGTTAGCTGCTAAACATAACATACCAGGCGTGTGTATGTTATGCTCAGCTAAAGGGAGAGCAATTTATCTCTAGGCTCACCCTGGATTTTCCTGTATTATGAGAATGGCAAACAGTTGACGAATATTTTGTTTGGGGGTGCTGAGATGGTAAAAGAAGTTCCATGCAGTGAGCTCAGATAAGAGACCACACACTGGCCTATTAAATAACAATCCTAAAAGGTGCTTCTCATTTCCTAATGGAGTCTCCCATTAGAATATGGCCTGCAGCAATAAGCTTTTCCAATTTAGCCAGTCACCTGATAGGAATTCCCCAGGACTGATGTTTATTCTGTGGTAATGGCAGATGTCTCTCATTGTAGCACAGACGTTAACCTGGTACCACCTGGAACCCTAGGCTTCCCCCGGGAAGGCACCAGGAAGGCGATTTCCATCTGGGCACAGTCATTTCAGGGCACACACTGTGTGTGCTCCCTTCCCTACTAGGCACCCATACTTACCAAACCAGTCCAAAAGAGAAAGAACAGGAATAGCCATGTCGTATCTGTGCACTTCCTATAAAGCTGAGGTCTCCACTCTCTTTGCCGGGGGGTTCTCTCTGCAGAAGCCTTCCAGACCGGAAAAAAAAAAGGGGGGGGGACTTGAAAAGAGGATAAATAAACATATGGGTCCCAACCTGCATCCAAACGTACTGAAGACTGTTCAAAGTAACTTTTCTTTCTTTTCCTTTTATCTTATTTTTTAAAAATGTGGCCTCCCGAAGCTTTCATCGGAGACTTCGAAACACCTGCTCTGTGCGGAGCGGACGTGAAGTCCCCAGTCGCCAAGTCCTTACCTGGAGGTGCACCAGCGGGCGGCCCCAAGTTTGCGCTCCGCAGCCAGCTTCTCCCTCGCCTCCGCCCCAGCATCTGAGTGGGGTCCTACGTCCTTCCCGCCAGGTGTCCCCAGGACTCGGCGGGGCCGGGGCGGGGGCTTTATCCGCTAGGATTGGGGAGGGCGGAAGCGCGCTCGGAGGTCGCCCGAACCTTCTCCCAGGACCCCTAGCCTTCCCGCGGGGCCTTTTTCCCTCCGGGGCCCCGTCGCCCCGGGGTGCGGGGCGGTCGCTCACCAGGTACTGGGCGCCGGGGCACTGCATCCTGCGCTCCGGGGCGGGGCGGGGGTGCTGCGAGCCGACGCCGCACTCGCGGCGGGAGCACCGTGGCCGGGAGGCCCAGCGGCCGGAAGGGGCACAGCGCCGCCCAGCGGCCGCCTTCCAGAGCCGCGAACTTAGCCTTCGGCTCCACCTGAGCGGCTCGGGGCCCGCCCCGTCAGTCACCTGTCCGCGGGAGTGCCGCCTTTTTCTAGGGCCGTCGGCCTCAACCACCTGCGCGGTGGCCGCTCCTGGGATATCCGTTTCGCCGACCGAAGCGCAGACCCGGGCCCCGCCACGATCCTAATTAACGCGTCCGCTCCTGCAGAGAGCAAGAAGTAGAAAGTCTCAGCAAATCCTTCCCCACCGCGGCGGGGGGGGGGGGGGGGGGGGGGGTGGGGGAGGTGTCGTGTGCTGCGTTATACGTAGCTGACAGGTAAGTAGCACTTACCCGGTACCGGCTTCTCTTCTAACGGCTTCACAGGCGTTGTTAAATAATTAACTAGGCAGAAATCATTGTTTTCTGCGCAACAATGAGGGAAACTGAGGCACAGGAAAGCAGTGATGGCATATGCTAGTAAGCTGTAGAACTATGAGTTGAACCCAGGCACTCAAGCAGGCACTTTCAAGGCGGTTCCTTGCCAACGCTCCTGTGAGGGATGGCAAGAGCAATATGAATCAGGAAAAATATCACAAAACTAAAAGAGAAATATTAAGCATGAAAAATGTAATAATTGGCATGAACGTTCATTGATGCTATTTATTAATAACGTGGAATAAATATAGTAGAACAGATACAGCTGAAGAGGAATTAGTGATTGGAAGAATGGTTTCAGCAACTCTCTAGAGGCAGCAGGAAAAGGCTAAAAAAAGGAAATAAGGCAGTTTATTTTAAATTTCCTAATTAATATCAAAGATAGAGCTAGAACAGAAAAGGATTGATATAAAAATAGAAAGGAGGAAATATTTGAAGGCCTAACGGTGGTAAATTCCAAGGTTGAAATAAAGAAACCTCAGATTGCATGGGCAAATCTCATGCCAAATATATATTTCAAATATCTTTTTCATTTTTTAGGCATTTCCTAAAAATCCATTTGTTGGAGCAATGGACCAATTACCCAACTAGTTCTCATCAGAATAACAGTGCTCCTACTCTGACCCACGGATCAGTCAACTCACTTGTCACACGACTGTACCCTTTAAGCCTCGCTTCAAACCCTCCCCTTGCTGTGTTCAGCAGTCCTCAACTATTGCATGCCCAAGTTGCCCAATCTAATCAGCCTGTCTACATTGGAGGACCCAACTTATACCAGACCCTGAAAAATCTATAAATATCTCATCTTGAAACACATCAAACATGTTTATATTAATAAATTTATAATAGTACTAAATAAAAATAAAGCCTCATTGATTGCCTTTAGAAGTTTCTAGGGGTCACACTCATTATTTTGAAAACTGGTTAAGGAAAGGGAAAGAAATCAAGCACATATCCTGCCTCTCCTATATGAACTATACTTTAGGGTAATCACATAACTGATTAAGGAGATTTTTCTTTATAGAAATATTCTGGCTTATATAAGTGCAGAAGGAATGATAGAATTTTGGATATCACAGTCTGCCAAACATGACAACAAAGGGACAATCAGACGTCAGTCTTTCCCCAGTGGAGAGCACATTGCCACCTGTGAGGTAGTCAACCCGAAAAGTCTACTTGAATCTGACTACCAATTTATAAGATATATAGGGAATAGAAGAATGAGTCAAATGACATCACAGGGATGCCATCAGCAAAATCAAGAATGGGAGAGTCCCAGACACATGACCTAATTTTAATATCATCCACAATAGTAGCAGCAGCGAAAAGATTATAAGAAAAAAAAAAAGAGGGAAAACCCATAAATTAAGAGACTTGGAAGGTATTTTAACATATAGCAGAAGAGATTGTTTAGCTCCAGATTAAACCAACTGGAAAAATGAAAGGAAAGAACTTTCAGAGAACTATCTGATTGGATATTTGATAATTTGAAGTAATTTATATTAAGGAATTTGGGGATCTGATGATGTCATTAGGATTACATTTAAGGCGAGTCCTTATTTAGATTTACATACTGAAACCTCTACAAAATAGTAGGCTGTCTGGGATTTGCTTCAAGAAATCCAGGGCAACCATTTTCTTACACCATACACAAAAATAGACTCAACATGGATAAAAGACTTAAGTGTGAGACAGGAATCCATCAAAATCCTAGAGGAGAACACAAGCAGCAACCTCTTTGGCCTCAGCGGTAGCAACTTCTTGCTAGAAACATCGCCAAAGGCAAGGGAGACAAAGGCAAAAATGAACTATTGGGACTTCATCAAGATAAAAAGCTTTTGCACAACAAAGGAAACAATCAACAAACTAAAAGACAACCCACTGAATGGGAGAAGATACTTGCTAATGATATATCTTAGTCATTAAGGGGTTAGTATTCAAAATATATAATGAACTTACACAACTCAACACCAAAAAAAAAAACCCCAATTAAAAAATGGGCAGAAGACATGCACAGACCTTTCTCTAAAGAAGACGTACAGATGGCCAACAGACATGAAAAAATGCTCAACATTGCTCGGCATCAAGGAAACACAAATCAAAACCACAATGAGACACCACTTCACACCAGTCAGAATGGCTAAAATTAACAAGTCAGGAAACAACAGATGTTGGCGGGGATGCGGAGAAAGGGGAACCCTCCTACACTGTTGGTTGGACTGCAAGCTGGTGCAGCCACTCTGGAAAACAGTATGGAGGTTCCTCAAAAAGTTAAAAATAGAGCTACACTATGACCCACCAATTGCACTACTGGGTATTTACTCCAAAGATACAAATGTAGGGATCTGAAGGGGTATGTGCACCCTGATGTTTATAGCAGCAATGCCCGCAATAGCCAAACTATGGAAAGAGCCCAGATGTCCATCAACAGATGAATGGATAAAGAAGATGTGAGATACACACACACACAATGGAATACTACTCAGCCATAAAAAAGGAATCTTGCCATTTGCAACGATGTGGATGGAACTAGAGGGTATTATGCTAAGCTAAATAAGTCAATCAGAGGAAGACAATTATCATATGATCTCGCTCGTATGTGGAATTTAAGAAACAAAACAGAGGATCATAGGGGAAGAGAGGAAAAAATAAAACAAGATGAAATCAGAGAGGGAGACAAACTATAAGAGACTCTTAATCATAGGAAACTGAGGCTTGCTGGAGGGGAGAGAGGTGGAGGGATGGGGTAACTGGGTGATGAACATTAAGGAGGGCACGTGATGTAACGAACACTGGGTGTTATATGCAACTGATGAATCACTGAACTCTACTTCTGAAACTAATAATACACTATACGTTAACTAATTGAATTTAAATTTTAAAAATATTTTTAAAAATCCAGGGCAAAGGGCAATGGGCAGAGGTGTGGGGGGAAACAAGATTGACCATCTACTGTAATTGCTGGAGTTGGGGAAGTGCACATGGGGGTTCATTATTTTCTCTACTTTTTGTGTGTTTGAAGCTTTATACACATACTCCCACACACCGAGAGTAAACCACAGTGCATGCCCCCTCTGGAGCCTCCACTTAAGAAGCCTCTGACACTTTCTGTAGGCAGGCCCCTGTTAGTGAGCATACTTACCTTTTCTCCTGTTTTACTTCCCATCCCCTCAGCCTGAGTGCTCAGCCGGCCCCACGCGTTCTTCAAGAGGCAACAGTCCCTGCTTGCCTTAGGATGGTTGTGTCTGCGGCTCTATTGGCCCAGCCAGGTGCCACCCTCTTACAGTTTTGTTCCCCTTCAATGTCCTCTGCAACCCCCTCTGGGTCCCTGGTGCTCCTGTAGCACTTTGGCCAGAACGTTTTTGCCTCTTCTGCTGGAACCTTCCCACCCCTTCCTCATACCACCATCTCCGCCCATCTAGCCCTAAGTTCCTAACGGTTCTCATGCTTGTGCTTCCTGATACTCGAATCTGCACCTCTTCAGAGGCTTTGGCCCTTCCTTAACTTCTAGTTGCTCTCTGCAGAGATGCTGGACTTGCACTCCTGTCCCAATCTGGCCAGATGGAGATGCAATTAGAACCACTCAGGTTGCCCACTACCGCTTTGGGTCGGTCTCGTAGGTGCAGGCTAAAGTTTGAGCTGAGCTTCAGTCTGCACATCCCATTGACACTGCTTTGGAGCCAGCGCGTTGGGGAAGGTCAGATTTCCCACCCCGCATCCCACTTTCCTCAAGCTTCCTCCCCCGCCTCACTAGCTCTGTGGCTGAGTTCCCAGCATGCTTTGAACCACAGCCTGACACCCTATGGTTAAAATAGTGTGATGTTGGATGTAATAAAGCCCCTTCTCTTCCAGGAATAAGGGCTCCCCCAGGACAATCATTAGAGGCTCCAGAGGAGGCAGGACCATCAACTCAGGCCTGAGGGTCCAGATCTTTTATCATCTGACTTTTCCGGTCAGCCAGGAAGACCCATCCCTCAGATTGGAAGCCAGAAATGAGATAGAAGATACAAGGGGTCTTGGGTTTGAACTTGGTTGGTCCTGGAATAGCAAGATGCATGGGACGGAGAAGGGGGTTGTGAGGAGCCATTTGGCTGTGAACAGAGGAGGGAGTGGTGGTGGGTAAGGGAGCCAAGCAAGGTGTGTGTGTGCAGAGGAGTCCCAGCCCTTTGGAGCTAGGATGAGGTAATTTCAGGGTGAGGAAGTTGGAGGTTCAGAAAAGCCTTACTTTTCTCCTTGAAATCTTTGGATCAGAAATCTGGTCTTTGGAACTTTGATTATTTTTAGCCTAATCTCCATCCTATAAGGATTGACTGAACGTTTGCTTTGTGCCAGGACTTGGGACATCTCGGCGGGCACAGACACCGAGGAGGAATATTTGCCCCTCCATGGAGGTCATGCTCACCTGGGGCTGGTGATGAGCCATGTGGTGGGGGTTCGCTGCCCAGTGTGATGGTCCCTGGAAGCTGTCATGGGGAAGGGTGTCTAAGCTGAGTGGCGAAAGGTGAGTAAGAGAAGATGAGGCAGAGAAAGGTGGGCACGGCATTCCAGGCAGAAGAAACAGCACAGATAAAGGCTTGGATGCATGGAAGCGCACGGAGAACCCCAAGCAACATGGTATTGCTGGAAGGTGAACATGAGCAAGGGAAGAAGGGGAGAGGGTATGA